CAGGCTGCATCAGTGGCAGTTTTTCTCTCGGCAGTGGGTGTCCAATGACAAGATGGATTAATATAGCACCATGTGTTGGAAAGACTGGAGCAAGAAAGGGAGTGTGGGGAGGAGGGTCATTTCTTAATCTACTGCATTTAGGTAAGAAGTGTAAAGGGAATAAAGTGCTTGAATCCTAAGCTGGTGCCCAATAACCCAAATAAAAGTTCTTGTATTTTTAATCAGTTGACTGGTTACAGAACAAAGGAAGAGGATGGTGCTAAAGACCGCTGGTGTCACTTGCCCTGAAGACCACAATGAGAATCAAAGAAAGAAGAGATCATCTAAACTGGAACCAGCCTGGGAAGAAAAATGATCAATTCCATTTTGACAGAATAAGTCTGAAGTAGCAGATATTCTACAGATCTAAGAGACTGTGGGCGAAGCCACAGAAAGAACCCTTTGAAAGCCAGGTGCAGACTTCTGTTGAACAGGGACATTCCTGACAGAATCTTTGGTCACAGGGGTGCCCAGTCACATGCTTCAAACTCAGCACCCCCAAAAGCACAATTCTCATGCGTGGAACAAACTCCACTGTGAGCCAAGTACTGTGACAGGAGCTGCTTTGCAGTAGCGAGTAAAACAGATGTGGTAACTGCTTACGAGACGGCTTACAGAACAGTCAACAAGGAATCAGGTAAGGAAATAGTTCCAAGTTATGATAAGGAGGAATATTATCAGAAAGTTAAGGAGGACATGAACAGAAAGAGCGTAACAGAGGTGCCCTAATTTAGAGGAGGAAGGATATGAAAGAGAGCCCTCTCTTAGTAACTGATATTTAAACTGTGAGCTAAGAAGCAATGAACGCTGGTCAGAATTTGTAATGTGTGTGCGTGCGTGCACGCACGCACACACACAAGCATGTTTTGTGTGTTTGGGGGTAAAGGCTAAGGGGAGCTACCAGGCAAAGGAACAGAAGAAGCCCTAAGGTAGGAAGGAGGTCAACAAAACCACAGACATAAAAAAAAAGCCTACTAAGTTCTTATTCCCAAAAGCATGGGAGGAGATGATGCTGGAGGGATAGGCAGTGTTTAAATCCTACATCGCTCTCTAGGTAATACTGAATAGTTCTGAATGCAGCAGAAAGCTACCTAAGTGCTTGAAGGAGAGGAGTACTAAATTTAACTAAATTAAAAAAAAAAAAAGAAAGAAAGAAGAATAACTGCCCTGACTGCTGTGCAGAGAATGATTTGGGGAAAGAAGTAAGAAAGGAGGCAGGGAAGCCAGTGCAGTTGTCCCAGGAGAGAAGATGGTGACCTGGAGTAGGGTGATGTGAGTGGACGTGGAGGGAAGTGGGCCAACTGAAGAAACATTCCAGAGTTAGAATCAAAAGGACACGAGAACTGAGTCGCACTAGTTCCCAAAATAAGATTTTCTGAAGTACTGCAATGATCCCAAGAATTCTTTCTCCTATTAAAAATAGTATACTGTCAGGCTCATTTATCAGAAATATAATCAAACTGCTTTTAGAATTACAAGAGCTCATCTTTTAACATTTCAAAGGCATTAAAAATCAAGAGATTTAGAAAAACAAATGGGACAAAGTTGTTCTGTTTTAGAACATAGAAAATTTATAGTCTGAGTTCTAAAGGCACCTAAGAGAGTGCTATGGAATTGCTGTAACATATATAATCTATTTCTTAAAATGTCAATATGTCTGCAATAAGGAACATGCATACCTTGTGAATTATTTTATCCTACTTAAGAGAAGTCATTTTTTCCTCACTTTTTTGCAAGGCACTTTCTTGCACAGTAAAGATTCTACAAATATTTACATTCCAAGTAGCAGAGCTGTTTGAGATGCAGTAAAGTTCTGCCAGCACTTCTATTACAAAGCCTTATTTCTTATTTACAGCATGCACATAAAAAGGGGGGAAATAAAACCATACTATGGATTGAAACTCGGCATACAAAGTTTCGACAAGAAAGTACATTTCTAGTGCAGCAAGTTTTCAAAAAGAATGTTCCATAGCGTTTAGGAGATAGACTAAGCCATGGTGGGGAAGGGGAATGGGGGGGGAGGACACTTGGGGGTGTCCTTTACAAAAACCATTTAGCACATGTGATCCGATTCTGAATTTTTTATACAAATTAGATCTGAGACTAAGATCTGTAACCCATCAATTTTAAAGCAATATTCTATCTTAAAAGACTCTGTGGCTCCAACATGCTAATTACTGCCAAATATCTTTGCGAACAGGGTATTATCCAATGCATTATTATCAAGCATAAGAAAGGAAGTAGTCCACCAGCATTAAGTGATTAATAAATGCTTATTAAAACCATGGGAGCACTTCAGAGATGCCCACCTTCAAAGAGACAAAGTAACTCCCTAAGATCAGAAGCCTTATTAAAGATGGACTGGTGGGGATCATTAAATCAGAGACGGCAAGCAAACATGCACAGCATCTATAAATCCTCCTGCCATCTGAATATCTCCCAATGCATAAATTTAACATTATTTTACTGCTAACAACTTACTAACCGGTGACTGGAAAACACAGAACATTGAACCAGTCATACGATTCTCTGGTGGCACTGAAACAATATAGTGAACTATACATAGATCTGGCAGTTTGAAAGGGGCACTTATATACTATTTCAGCACAAAACATATTAAGAGTTAATGAGAACTTCAAGTTGGACACTTAAATTACATAGTTAAAACAAAGCTGGAAGATGTGTACTGAATGCATGAGAAGGAGTTAGGAACTTACAAGAGAGAAAGACACTTCGCCGGCAGAGTGGAGAGGCTATTAGTTTGTAATAACTAGGCATAGATGAAATGTGACAGTGATAAAATTGAACGTAAATCAGCAACGGAAAGGCTGCAGCTTGTTGTCCGCAGCTAATCTTCTGCTCCAGTTGAAACTGCTCAGCACTTTGGTCCTATTAAATGTTTTGTTCCATTTTAAGGAACACTTGGGCTACCCAGTTGTGGTGTGAAGGATATTTAAAAATTAGAGTTCTCCTGGAGAAATGAACTTAATGCCTTCATGTCTTCCGGCTGACCTTAATGACATCCAGATAGCAAATAGGACATGGGGCTGAATGTTATTGTCTGAGGCAGCCACTGCCTGAATCTATTCCCCTGCAGATCAATTAGCCATTCAGTGCCTCCGATATCCCATGTTTAGATAGGAGGGCCACACATATGTATTCAACCTCACCTTTCATGTAAAAAAAAAAAAAAAAAAAAAGTGCAGCAATTTCCTCTATGTCCCTGGTGGATATGGATCCTTTCCAGGGTCCTCAAACCACATGTTGACTCTCAAATGACTTCAAGCAAGCATTCAAAGATCAGCAATTCCTGAAGCCACTATTTTTATAATTGGCACAGTCTTTCCATTAAGGAGGCTGAACCCAATCAGACATCTTTTATGAACAACATTTACAAGAACCTATCTTACTGTACTCAGTAACTGGCACATATTAGGCATTTTGCTAACGTTGCCCAAATGGGTATGAATATTAACCGGCAGACAACTTCCTCTCTAGTACCATGGCTCACAAAGGGTTAAAACCACAGACACAGATACCAGGTTACAGCAGCCAAAGTCCTATGACTGTTAGTAAACACAGCTAACAAGGCAAAAGTAACACATTTGACTTCAATATTGAGAGGCAATAGCTCTTTCAAAGGCAATTACTCCTTTCAATCTCTGAAAGGCTCTGAATCATTGTTCTGATTAATTCCTGTTTTTAATCTATTAACAGATCAGAATTCTTTTTCAACTGGTGTGATATTCATCTCTGTGGGGAGATGGCAAACAGATGTGGGCAGACAGAAACCACAGCACATACAGCGTTCCTACTTTTTTTTTCCCAGTTATTCTTGCTTAATCAATTTAAAATTATTTCTAGATTTACCTACTCACTGTATGAGCTGGGGCTTCTGACCTCCCTCCTGCATATGACACAACTCCTGTCTGTTGCTTTCTCTAGCTCTGTTTCCCCACATCTTGGTTTGAGATGAACAGGCTGGCCACCCCTTTCCCAGAACTCTGTCTGTTCCCCTCCCTTCGGCTCAGAACGGGGATTTCCTCTCCTCCCCATACCGGTCACCGTTTGTTATTAAATCATTCCTCTGGGCGCATCTCCCTGCTGTAAATCAATACGCAAATGCAATACAGGAAAGGACACAAGGACTGGCGAGCCGTGCGGAGCTTTGCACAAGTAGAGCCCAGAAGCTGTTCATTTCAAACAAACCAAAAAAAGAAAAAAAGAAAAAAAAAATCCCCCAAGGTACTGTGATTTGGAGTGCCCAGTTGGCACTTCCTGGTTTTCTGATCTCGACCTCTCAACATTCTGGTACCTGCTTGGTTAGCTTTGCAGGGCTCCTTAGAGAACGGAGAAGCAGCCAAGAACAGGGGCCGATCTCAATTAAACTGGATCACAGCCCATCAGAGAAAACCTGTCAAATAAACGCAACGGGGCATTCCATCCAAGACTGCAGATTTGAAAGTGGAAAGAAAATGCATCTCGGCAAACTTGACCGCTAATGGAAGCATCCTCCACCCTGGCTTCCTTAGAGCTGGAGGCCAGGAAGAGGGTTTCTGGCAAAAAATTATCTCATTTCCATCCTCTGCACCATGGACCTGGGATTTTTCCTCTGCACCCTTACAGTGAACAACTTTTTTTTTTTTTCCCAACTTTCCCTGGCCAAATCCTCTGAGATAAGGACAAGCCAGGGGAACCCACCTCGCATTACCCCACGCTCGTGCCGAAGTTGCGGAGTCTTCCCATCAGAAAACCAATCCTCTACCGAGAAGGAGGAAAATAATCTCCCCCAAGCAAAACAGCCAGGAGAGGCAGCCTTTATTCTCGACCCGTCGAGTGTATTACCCCGCAAACAAACTTTGGGGCTGAGGAGCCGTGAAGCCAGGGCGGAAAGTTTGCCCCAGCATTTGGCTCATCCCAGTACCCGGGCCGGCGAGAGGAGCCGGGCATGCCCAACCTACCTGGTCCCTGCAGCTAGCTCACCAGGTGCCAGTTCCGCCGGCCGGTCAGCCGCCGATCGCCGGGGCTCGCTGGGCAGCCGTGCGCGCCCGCGCGAGACGCCGCCGCCGCAGCCTCCCGTTCCGCGCCGTTCCCGGCCGAGCCCGCGGCGCCCGCCTGCCAGCCGCCACCACCGCTGCGCGCCAGGCTGCTGTGGCCGCTGCTGGCGCCAAGTGAGCGGTGTCTGCGCTTCCGCCGCTCCGGCGCGGGCACGGGGAAGAGGGGAGAGGGGCTGACGGGAGGGGAGAGGGGCGGGCGGGAGGGGCGGGGAGCGCGGCGGAGCAGCCAACGAGGTCCCGCGCCTCGCGCCGCCCGCGTACCCGCCCCCGCCAACCCGCGCTTCCGCGCCCCTGCGCCCGGCAGGACCCCGCGTCGCCCTGCGCTCAGGCAGCGTGCGCCCACGTGCGTTCGGCCTCCGCAGGGCCCTGGGCGCGGTTCCAGAGGGGGGCGGCGGTCAGCGTATCACCGCTGGGTGGCCTTGTGCGCGCACAGTCGGGCCCCGGGGAGCACGGGTTAAAGGTAGGAGTTCCACTTCTCGGGAAGCCTCCTACAGCTGCTCTCCCACAAGTGCGCAAAGATGGGCAATTTTAGTATTAAAGCCTATATTTATTAAGGGCACCCTACGTACCAGGTAGCGGATTGCGCAATTTAAGTGAATTAGTTCTTGGTTGTCCCCAGAACACCCCTGGGTCTATTATTACTCCCTGATTTAGTGAGGAGGAAATTAACTTGCCTAAGGCTGAAATGAGTTAGTTATGAGAATAATCACTAATTTTTTGTGTCTTTTTACAAGGACCCTATAAGGTAGATCTTATCGCCTTTATTGTCCTAAATACATACAGACAGTGTTTGGTTGGGCAACCTAGGCTTGAATGAAAGCCTGCTAATTAAAAGAACAGCTAATTAAAGTATAGTGGAGACATAGGATGGAATATAATGCAGCCACCTACAGAGAGGGAAGTACATCTACTAGTATTGGCATGAAATGACCTTCAAGAGGTATTACTAGGAGGAAGAAGTTTCAGGAAAAGTATTTTCAGTTTTTTGCTTATATACATGTGCGCATGCATGTTTATGCATTCACCATTTCTAGAAGGATGACCCAGGATATTGTTAACAGTAGTCCTTGTGAATAAAACTGAAATTGGGGCTGAATTTTATAACTCTTTGACATTGTTTTTAAAGTGTAGCATAAATTTACTTTCTCTTTTTAGAAAAAAAATATCTACTCCTGTTTGTTTAATTAGACTTAAGCGTTTCCAGCCCTGTCCCCTCTTCTCTCCTTTCCTCTCTCTGATTCCTACTGTCAGAGGGACACAACCGCTCATCAAGGGCAGCAGCCAGGGCCAAAAAGACCTGAGAGGGCTTTTAAGGGAAATAGCTGTTTGGCTCCTCTATCTCATTTTTGCTCATTTCTCCCAGGAATAAGTGCTCCTGTTTAGTCCCCTGCAACTCAGAATGGAATTTGAACTTTTGGAAAACTCTCCTTCAGGGGGCCTAAAAGATAACAGGTAGAAAACCCAGGTCAGTAAGATGCAGAGCACTGCTGCCTACACTGAAGCCCACATGCAGGGCCCCAGTCCTTCTTGCTGGTGGAAAGAAAACTGCTTCAAAGGGTCCAGTGAGGCGGGGTTTCCCCCAGAGCTGTTTCGGCAGTGATGTCTCCTTTCCCCTTGAGCACACAGCAGGGTCCTGGGATACACTGGGTAACTTTGTCTGGTCTTGGCCACTTTTATCCTATCTCTCACTTTATCAGGAAAACTGTTCTTCCCTGTCAAAGTAATGGCTGGATTAAAAAAAAAAAAAAAAAAGATGGGGTTATTTATGTTTCAAAAGAGGGGAAGCAAGGATAGATGGAGCTCACTACTATAAATAAAAATAATGTGCTTTTTCCTGTGAGAATTAAATTGCAGTAAATTTGGGCTCCTTAAGGTCTCTCTACTTAGCAAAAGAAAAAAATAGAACAGGTACAGAACTGTGGTTTATGGTCGTTTCAGTTGTTATTGGTTACTGTAAATAATCTTTTTGCTTGCAATCTGGCAATGTGTTGGCAAACCCCCTGAGTGTGACAGAATGTTTTATTGGGCAGAACTGGTGTATTCTGGAAGGAACTGAGAAAACTTTCCATGCAAATTATGCTCATGCCTTGCACCTAGCAGGTGCAATTACTGCCAGGCCCACATCCATCACAGGAGTGCCTCTTCTCTTAATATTTTCAAGTCGATGTCTCATAATGCATTTTCCTTCTAATACATACATAAACATAGACCCTATGTAATGGGAAGGGAAAGAGCATTTTTATCAAGGAGGAGGAGCTTTCCCCAGGCAGCAAAATGACGGGAAAAAGACAGGAGAGAAGTTGCTTTAAATTAGAGGGAGAGAAATCTAAACCTGAAACCCCCACTGCCATCTCCAAATAATTAGTCATTTCCAAGCTCACATTACGTTCGTTGCCTGTGCTGGTGAAAGCTGATTAGCGCTGGAAAGGAACTTAATGAAATTTCGAATCTATGGTCGCAGCAGAAGGGAGGACATCCTAAATTTGCAGGAGTAATGATGACCATTTCGTGTGAGCCACAGTTTCATAGTCAGAAGAGGTAAGAGGTGTATAAATATATGTATATAAGGAGATATGCATCATTTTATTTCCTCCCTTTGCTCAAAATGTAAAGCATAATTTGAGTCAACTGAAGACCTGATATTTACCAGAAGTTGATACACAAGAGCAGGTTTAAATAAAATTTCCATCCAATTTCTGGGCCGGAAGCCCAGGAAATTAAAAAAAAGAAAAATTAAAGGCACATGTGGGTCTTCTCAGTGTGAATGCCGGATGGAGTTTTTATTGAATTTGGCCTCAACTGATTGTAGCATTATAAGCAATTCTGCAGTTAAGTTTCAGCAGCCATTTAGATGGTAAATCCTTTTTTTAGGGTATTATAGCTAAGAATAATAACTTCCTTTTTATATGGCACCTTTTATAACAAAGCTCTTTAAAGTGTGAGATTATCTTCCCATTATTAAGATACCCCATCTGTGTTGGAATATAAAGGTATTTCATGCCACTGACACCATATAACAGTTATTTGTTTGCCTGTTTCTTGTGTAGCAGAAGGAAATGAAGAAAAATATCTACTAAACCCACAGACTGACATTCTTCGGTAAAAGTATAAATTGGAATGTAGCCAAGTTACTAAGTTAAACATACCCATTTCTATAAAAAGAGGTGAGGAGTCTTTTAGTTTCCATGGGTGGAAAGATAAGTCCTATGGACTTTGCCATGTTACTGTCCCCAAGTACATATCTAGATGTAAAGATTATATTACTGAGTATACAGAATTGTCGTCTCTAGTGCTGGGGTGGGTGGTTCTGAGAGGTTCCTTGAGTCAGGTTAAAGAGCAGTAGTAAGTTTTCAGCATCCCAATGGGAGTAAAAATTAAAGTTGTTACAGTAACTGGATAACAGAGGCAAAAAATCTTCCATGAAACTTTCACCTTAAATGTTTGTCCATTGAATACCCTTATTCAAGCAAGTTCTCCATTTTTCTGGTAAGAGGGTCAAACTGGAGGATTCTGGAAACATGAATGCATGTAAAATGCTTAGCACTGTGCCTGGAACTTAGCTCTGGGTGTTTATCAAATATAACTAATTAAAGTATCTTACTCACTTGTTTTCTCCTCTAAAGGTGATTGCCAAACTTTCTGTCTGTAATAGCTCTGCTGTCATTCTCTTTATGTCACAGAACATATCCCTGTGTGACCCTATTTTTTACATGTTTTTTGTTGCCAGAACCCCTCACTAGAATGCAAGCTGCATGAAAGTGTGGTCTTTGTTTGTTTACTGTGGCATTCACAGCCCCCAGCACATATCTGACCCACACATGATTCAGATTCCGTAAATGTTCGTTTAATGATTGAAAGAGTTTCCAGTGTGCCAGGCATTGTACTCGTTGCTTATACCCAGTACTTTGCAACCCTTAAAACAACCCCAGCAGGTAACTATTGTTTTACTGTCTTTTACAGATGAAGGAACTAAGACACATAAAAGTGAACTCATGTATTTGGAAGCTCTCTGTTTGAAGATTACACAAGCTGTAAGTAGCAAGGCTTGGCCTCGAATTGTGGGGTCCAATGCCAGACTCTCTGCTTTCTGTGCATCCCTGTGAGTTTAAGTGGACTTTGCTACCCATTCAGTCCAACACTTGTAAAACTCTTAATATGCCTGCAACTGGGAATCTGGTTAAAATGCAGATTCTGATTTAGCGGGTCTGGGGTGATGCCTGAGACTCTGAATTTCTGCCAGGCTCCCAAACGATGCATGGAGCTGCTGGTCCAGAAACCAGACTTCGAAGAGCTAGGTTTTCATGTTAACATATAATCCAGTTGGCCCATCCCAAATTTTAGGGATGGAAATTAATGGAGGTTAAAAAGCAATATTGGAATTACTTAAATAGTTATGAAATCATAGAGTTTGACTTAGAATTATTTCTTCTAGGTTTACAGTGACTAGTCCAAAGTAAAATCTCAACGAATATTAATTTCCAATACAGAAGAAGAAACTGAGGCACAGAAAGGTTATGTAACTTTTCCCAGTTCACTGGTGGCAAAGCTGAGATAGTGACCACCTGATACCTGTGCTCTTTTTGATCAGAAAGCACTGACGCCTCTTGATCAGTTTTTTTTTTTTTTTTTTTTTTTTGCGGTATGCAGGCCTCCCACTGCTGTGGCCTCTCCCATTGCGGAGCACAGGCTCCGGATGCACAGGCTCAGGGGCCATGGCTCACGGGCCCAGCCGCTCTGCAGCATGCGGGATCTTCCCGGACCGGGGCACGAACCTGTGTCCCCTGCATCGGCGGCGGACTCTCAACCACTGCACCACCACGGAAGCCCTGATCAGTTTTTTAAAAGTAGATTTCCTGGAAATTTGAAATGGCAACAGACTGACAAGGTTAAGAGAGTTGGTAAAGAGGGTGTGCACAGATGTACTTGGCGGTTGCACTTTCGTAGGGATGAGGTTGTTGCACCCTGAGGAAGAAATGAGGGCACCTGAAGTTCAGAGCTCCTGAATTGAAAACCTATTACACAGCACGCTGAAGACTGCTATATATAAGAGCCCTTTCCCCTAATGTATGTTACTATACACAAGCAATGTAAGTTTCCCATTTAGTAACTCTAT